AAATTATATAACCGAATTTTAAATCATTGTTTGGATAGTCTAAACAAGCCCTATATTTCTATTTAAACAAAATAGACCCTTTATAGAAAACGAGCAATATTGCAATTTAAAATATATCAAAATTGCCTAAATCTAACATATTTCAACGTCATTTCAAATTCAAATTCATAATTGACCGCCTACAATATTTTCCCTCTTCTAAAGATTGTATCGAAGATTTACCCTAGACTCACCACATTCGTCATTTCGCTATATATAGTTACCACTGTTGATATCAAATTCATCACACCAGCTAAGCAATATTTAGCTTACATACTCCCTCTTGCAAAGTATGCGATGTCGACCTTCACATTCCTCACTGCCCTGAAGCCATTCAAAACTCAATGGAGGATCCGTGTCAAGATACTGAAGTTGTGGAAACAGTATTTGAATGGGATCGAGACGATGGAGATGGTCGTTGTCGATGAACTGGTATTGTTTTGTACTTTGTTTGTTCGATATTCATACTGTTCCATTTTGATCATATATATATTATATAACGTTTTGCTTATTATTATATTGCCATGCAGAATCAAACTATGCATGTTAGTATGAAGAAGCAGTTCATAAAAAAATTTGAAAATCTTCTAGAGGAAGGAACTACTAAGATCATCACTAATTTTCAAGTCACTCACAACGGTGGTAAGTTCAGGACTACTTCTCATGTTTACAAGATCCAGTTTGCTGCCACGACGTCTATCAGACCTTCTGAAGATCTGGATGCCACAATTCTTGGGTTGAAGTTGGTGAACTTCGCTGATATTCACGAGGGCAAGTTGAATCCTGATTTTCTAATAGGTAAATGGTATATTTATATCTCGCATACATTACTAATATGAACCAAAGCATATTACATCTAATTATTGGTTTATGTTTTTATTTTACAGATATTGTTGGACAAATTGTTAGTATTGGTGAGGTTGAGATTCTCAACGTTAACAAAAAACAGACCAAACGTCTAACAATGACACTTCGTGACACCAGGTTTTTTAATTCCCTTTGACACCTAAATATTGTTAATAAGACGTCTAATATATTTTTTGTCTTTTAGTGATGTGCGCCTGAATTTTGTTCTCTGGGGGAATTATGCCGAAAGTTTGGAGAGTGTTGCTACACATGCAACTAATGCTACCATTTGTTTCGTGTTAAGATTCGGAAAGTTAAGATTGTA